AGCCGCCCCGAGCCGGCGCCCGGCGGCCCTCAGCCGTCTGGGTCTTTGCTCGGCTCCCGCCGCCTCAGTTTCAGAAACGCGGTTTGATGTCTCGAGAAGTCGAGAGGTCGCAGGTGCACGTCGGCCCTCTCACCAGTGGGCTTCAGCGGGACGGCGCCGGCGGGTCCCTCCGGTGCGGCCCAGGCCCGGCCCCCGTGGACCGGCCAGGCCTCGGCGGTGTCTGCTGCTGCCCACTAGCGGCGGGCCCGGCCCTGCTCCTGACCCCGCCCCCCAGCACCCCAAGGACCGCCAGGGCCCGCGTGTCTGGGGCCGGCCCGCTGCCAGCACCCCCGGGACCCCTCCCCACGGAGGCCACGCGGTGCCCACGTGTGTTTTCACGCACAAGCCGGACTCTGGAGCTTGTGCTGTCGTGTCTCATCTCTGCCTAAAACAGGTCCCGGGCGGGCGTGGCGGCTCGCGTGTGGCCGGGGTGTTCTGCAGATCAGCAGCCTCCTCCGGTCCCCTCCACCCGCCGCCGGTGCACGTGGGCGTCCGGGCCTGGCCCTGAGCCACAGGCGAGCTCGAGGCCTCTGGCCCCGGCTGGGGCGCGCCACGCGGGAGACGCCGCCCGGGCCGTGAGGCCGCCGCCCAGCCGGCCCCAGACACGCGGGCGTTTGCGCTCGGCTCTAACTTTTCCCCAGTGGCGCCGGCACGGGGCGCTGCTGCCAGTGAGGCCAGCGTCTGGCCACGGAGCGCCCTCTCCTGGGGAGGGAGGCACAGCCGCGCGCCCACATGTCCTGTTTACGCCCCACACCCAGGAAGGACTTGGCCCCAGGGTGGAGCCCCTCGCAGGCCCGTCCAGCCTCGGGAGCTCCGCGGTCCCCCGGCGGCCTCCCAGGACCACAGCCCTCTGGGCGTCCTCGAATGCCCCCGCGGGTCCTCCCCGCCAGCTCTGCGGGGTGGACGCTCCTGTGCTTGGAACAAGCTCCCGGGACAGTCACGAGACCGCAAGAGTCTCCCGGCCTGTCTCTCCTAGCCCCGGGCGCCCCGAGCTCACAGGGGAGCGTCTGGGAGCCCGCGAGTGTGTGTCTGCCCGGCTCCCGCCCCTGCCCAGCCTCCTGGGCGCAGGCCGTGCCCAGCGCAGGGCTCCCCCCCGGGCACCCAGCCGCAGGGCAGGCGCCAGAGCCAGGCTCCCCACCCGCGGCCACGGCAGGCAGCACCGGCGCCCGAGCGAGAGGGGCCACCCCGGGGCCACGGCTCTTCCCTCTTGGCTCAGCCAGCCGCGTCCGGACCAAGTCGGTCGCGGAGCGGCCAGGTGCCCAGCGGGGGTGGCCGGCGCCTGTCCGCGCCCGCGGCGGCTCACCAGTGCGAAGCCTCCTCCGCTGTCTTCCTCCCGGTGGCCGCCAGCGCCTTCAGCCTGCGGGAGCAGAGTGCGGGCGCCCTCAGAGCGCCTCCTCCACCCCTAGACGAGCGGCCCGGCCCCCCGGTGTTTTCCCTCCCAGCCTGCCCGCCCCAGGCGAGCACCTGGATCCCCCGGGCGTCCCGAAACCCAAGCGGTGGCCGGAGACCACTGCCCGGAGGCCCAGCCCCTCGCCCCACGGACTGTGGGCTTGTCCCCCCCGCCGCGTCCCCGCAGCCTCCTGGTCACCAGCGTGGACACGCGCGCCAGAGGCCTCCCAGCAGGCCGGGCCTGGCTGCACCCCGACACCCGCTCCAAGTGCCCCGAGCCCGCCTCTTCAACGGGGGCCAGACTTGTGGGCTCGGGGCGCCTGAGCGGGGCGCCAGGCCTGCCCCCTCGGGCCTGGGCAGCCCATCGGTTCCGGCGGGGGGCCCCCGTCACGCTGCCAGGCCTGTTTACGGGGGGCAGGAGAACCTCACGTCCTCATTGGGTTGAGAAGAAGGGCCTTGCTTCACAGGGGTTCATCTCGTGTTCAGGATTGCTCGAGAGTTTAAGTTTGCCGCCCCGCCTCCCCCTGCGCCCCGAGTCTGCGTCCTTAGGGGATTCTGACCCATTTGCCCCTCGAACAAGCGCCTGAGAGGGACCGGCCGGCACCGGCTGCTCCGGGAAGCCGCTCCAGGCGGCCTGTCGGTGGCCTCGGCGTGGACTGCCGCGGCCTCTCCTGGGTGACCCCCGGGGCCTCGCTCTGGAGCCCCTGTCCGGTGGGCTC